AATTGGTCAAACAAAGAGTCTAATCAATTTTTAAAAAAAATAAAAAAAGATAACCTTTTGAAGAAAATATAAAAGAGTTGATGCATCACTAGCATTAAATATCGTGGTAAAAAGAAAACATGTTGATTTTTTTTTAATTATTTTGTTGTATGACTGAATTTTAATTTTATGTACAAATAAACGAAGAAATAAATGCTCAAATCAACACTAAAAACACAAACAAAAGAAAAAAAAAAAAAGAAAAGAGAGCATGTCTTAAAGAAAAAGGAAAAAAAATGCAAGAAAAGAATTGAGAATAAAAAGAAACAAAAAAGAGGTAAGCAGTTCGAAGCAAAATACAATCTCATCTTTAAATAATTTTTTTCCAAAATAACCTTTTAAAACGTTTTTTCGACATTGATGATCTGTCCATGTAATATTGTGTAAGGATAGCTTTTATTGATAGTTAGGTTTCAAGCCTACATTTCTTATTGAGAGTAAAATAAAGTTGTGTATTACTCTAAATATTAAAATTACCTATTAGTCTAAATAAAATTATGTATTACTCTACATCATTCTATTAGCCATTTCCAACTTCTAACACAGATATTGAATAAACAATGAAAAAGCAAATCCATTTTCTATTATTTCTCCAATTCTCAAATTTCACATTAAACTTTATACCAAAAAAATTCATATTAAACCAATCCATGCAGAGATATGTTGCAAACATTTTTTCTTGTACTACTCGTGAAGCAATCTTTCTCTGCCACTACCAATACAAACATGGAAACTAAGAAGTCTTGCAGCTTCTATAAATAACAAATGACCAAATTGATCTAGGAAACAAACCAACTAGATAGCCAATAGAATGATGTGGCAACTAAAAGCATAGTTATGATTGCATTTATAGGATTTTAAAATTTATTTTAATTTTTCAAATAGGTATATAAAAAGCATATTAGGCACACAAGGAAAAGATATCCTTTACTTAGAGCAGGTCATTCATATGAAGCAACCTACATGTATAAAAAAGCAAAAATCAAGTAATATGCAATATAAATTTATTTATTCAAAGAACTAGTAAATGATAATAGTAACAGTTGTAATGACTGTTGTAATGGAAATGCCACTGTTGCTAACCTCTATTACAACAAAATATTTATAATATTTTAGAATTTATTTCAATTTTACAAATAAGCATATAAAAAGCATATTAGGTTTACCTTTAGGAAGAAATATCCCCTACTCAGAATGAGGCTTTTATATGGAGCCACCTATATGTAAAAGAAAACAAAAATCAGGTAATGTGTAATATAAATTTATTTCTTCAAGAAACCAATAGATGACAATAGTAGCAGTTACAATAAATGCTGTAATGTAAATGTTATTGTTGCTGGCTTTTATTAAGTAGAATTCTACTTAGAAAATATCATAGTGTAAGAGGAGTATCCAAAGGAAGTACTCTCCCTTAAGACAGTAGAATGAGAGGTTTTTAAAAGCTAACCAATGTGCTGAGCAATGAAATTATGTGATAAAATATTGTAACTTTTCTAAGCACATTTGACAATTAAAACACCCAAGCCTAATAAAAAGACAAATTTCTTTTGCATGCACTGATAAAAAAAAAAAACGTTTCATTAAATATAGTAAAAGGCATACCGCCTCTTTGGGAATAATTGCTAGCTAATTGGGTTACACTTCTTGTTGGCCATACTCCTTTACTGTATATCTCTATGAAGTCAAAAGATGAAATTTAAAAAAAAAAGATCAAAAAGTAAATAAATAAATCAAAAGTAAGTACAACATAACCTTGTTAACAATGTGATTGTTATATAAAAATGATAAAAGCTTTACTATATATAATGTATAATTAGCAATAGAACAAATAAAAAAGATAATTATGTTTGGGCAAAGTTTGTGAGCAAATAAAAAGCTTATTGGACTTTCATAAACAAAAAGCTAAAGATACCCTTTTTTTTGCTTTAGCACATAAAATGTGCAAACCAATCATGCAACTATTGGAAGATTGTGATTAAAAAACCAATTATTAAGCATGTACACAATTAAAACCAAATAAAGCCAAATATAAGAAAGCACTCATCATAGAAAAAAGATTAGTGCTTCTGCGCAATGCTTGAACCAAAATAAAGCACAACCAAAGTATATACTTTTAAAAAACAACAACCAAAGTACACGCTTTTAAATATAATAATAGAAAAGTAAACAAAAAAATCAAGAAAATTAGTTAAATACAAATAAGGAAAACAAAATAGCATGGCTAACAATTTTTATAATGTTTTAATTAGATATAAATTTTTGGTTAGTTTTCCCCTTCTGTTTTAGACCACATGGTGGCTGGGATGCTGATGCAACCATTTTTGTCCTCCCTAAACCGATGTGCTTTGTTATTTCATTAGTTGCTATTGTTTCAGTTGCCAAAATTGCAATAAAGAAAAACTAAATTAATACCTTGCAGAGGAAAAACCAATCAGAATAAAGAATTTTAACTCTTTTTAGAGGTTTTTTTTTTACTTGAGTGGCATACAACTTCTAGTGAGATAGAGACTGGTAACAAGGGTAAAAGCCAAAAACATCAAGGTTTGTAAAGGGTTTTCTTACTGGTAGACCCAATAAGCCTTTGTTAGTGAATTCATCATATGATTCTTCAAATCATTGGCATTCTTGCTACTTCATCTACTATTGCATATAGCAAATCCCATGTTTCTAACGATGACGAAACTCTAGTTGACAAGCTAGGCTTCTACGGTTAGACCCTTGGTTGTAACTTTGATCAATCGTTAACATATATAGGGTTGATTAAGGCGAAATGGACAAAGGCCAACCTTAAAAATCAAAACAAAAGATCATCTTTAAACATTGAACAACAAAAAGCACAACAATCAAAGTGATTAAACGAAAAGATTAGAAAAAAAATTAAAGGTTACCTGCAAAAGATGTGAAGATTTGGTAGTTACAAATTAAGAGAGCTAGCTTTTTCTCTTTTATGATTGTAAGTAAATTCGAGATTTAAAAAAAAGAAAAATGAGAAAACCATAAATAAATATAAAAAGAGCAACTTACCTTTTACTCTTTTCTTTATAGATGAAACCCTAAATATCTATAAGCTTATGGAAGCTTGTTGAACTAATTTCTTCCAAAATTATCTTTGCAATTTTTTTTAAGACATTGCTTAGTTATATAGATAAAGTAAGATTAGGGATAGTTTTTATATTATATATAGATATTGATTGCCATTTTTCCTCACCATTATATAGGTTAGCATAGATTATGTGAGTTTCATTTTTTTTAATCACAATTTGCCTATTACAATGGCAACATGTTAGTCAAAGTCAAACTAAGGCAACGACCTTTAAATTTTGTGGAACAAGGCCTATGCTACCAATACTACTTTTTTTAATAAAATTACAAATATAGTTATAATCTAAATAAATTTGGGTAAATTACATAAAACTACCTTGAGGTTTGAAACGAATTAAAAATGACTTATGAGATTTAAAAATTAAAAATTAACAATTAACTACCATATGATTTATTTTATTATTTTTTTGCCCAAAATCGTAACGTTTTTCATTTTCTTTTCAAAACTTTTTCTAGTTTATATTTTCTCTCTCCAATATTCTCCATTCTTCTCTCTAACTTATTTCAACCCAACTAACACTAAGAACAAAACCAAATCTCTAATGAAGCCTACAATAGCCTTCATCAAACATTGTCAATTTCACTGCCTGTGCGCCGGTTATCGTTCATTGTATTGCCAATTAATCTTCTCCTTTATTTTTTTCATCTCTATTTTAAAAATCTAAAAATTCTCAAAAAATTCAAACTAAAACCCAAAAAAAAAAAAAAAAAACCCTTGCTGATGAGTTGTTGTGGCTATTATATGGATTTGTGGTTGCTTTATGGGTTCACTGGGTTAGTAATTCAAGGTGCATTCGAATTCTATACATTTTTTTGTAGTTTCTAGGTTTGTTTTTGGGTTTCTTTAAGGTTATTTGCTCTGTTGATGGTTGTCCTTGAAAATTGGTATGGTTGCTAACTAGAAATTTATTATTTGTTTGATGCTTAATTAATTGCTCTCAATTGCTTCTTTGTTCTTCGATTGCTTCTTTATGAATTGCTTTTTACTTGTCGTATCACTTCTGTCAATCGTGTTAGGATTGCTTGATCTACTTATTACTAGATTGTTCTGTTTATTGCCGAAATGCCTTTTTATTGAACTATTGGTGATTTGCTAAAAAACAAATTTTGTGTTGAATGACTCACATCCAAATAAAAAAAAAAAATCTTTTGCATCCATATCCAAAAATTCAACTAAAAAACTTATTATTTAATAAAAATGTCAAATTAAATATAAAAAATAAAATACCCAAATAAAATTTAGTTTGAAAAACAAAAATCATATCAAATTTTAAGTCAAATCATACTAAAAAAATGGACATTGTTTACTTTGAATCAAAAAAACTATTTCAATTCATCTTCTTCCTCTTTATTATCATTATCAATTAAGAAAAAAGATCACATAGCATATAAAGAATACCAAATTTAATTGCAATGTGATTTTTTAGTTTAAAACCAAAATAATTTTTTATCTGAATTTAAATTTTTTTTAGTTCTAGAAAAAAATAATAAACTTTTATAAAAGAATGAAATGGGAAAAAAGTTAAGGTTTATACAACTTATGTATTAACAACATCAGTAAATAATCATAGAATGAGATAAAAAAAAATATTAAGGTGATTATATGTCACATTTTAAATTTTAAGGATAAACTCAAATAATTTTTATTCATAAGATATATATATATATTATCTATCCAATACATTATTATATCACTTATAAAAAAACAAATTATAAATAATTATTTTAAAAATATAATTAAACAATTAAATTCATATTTTAAAATTTTAACACCTTTTTTTTTTTACCTCTAAAACAAGGTACCGCTACAATTATGGCTCGTTAAAACATAAAAAAGAAGTCATATGGCTGGTCACATTACGTAGTAGAGTGAGAAAGAGTGAAAAAAAAACCTAATTTTCGTGTTAAGACCAAAGTTGATCTGCAGACCAACCAAATCAGGCCCCCGTTTCTCGCATCCCATATAAAAGGCAACAAGGCAACCAATCTCCGGCGTACGGCCTGCCTTCGCTTACAAAATGGCGGTTAATACTTCAACTTACTGCGCACCTCCATTGAATCGGTTCCCAGGTCGCCGATTGCCGATCGTTTTCATCAGCCTGGCCTCCTCCTCTCGATCCTTTTGCTTCCCCGGAGATCCCACCCTGAGGATCGTCTCCGTCCATTCTCAGAAACCTGGCTCCGAGAGTTCGGCCATTATTTTGGAGACTGGAGGTCAGTCGAGGTCGTCCAGTTCGTCCACGGCCTCCGCCATTGATTTTCTCACATTGTGCCATAGTCTCAAGGTATAATTTTTCCCAAATGAAAACGTTAAACTTTTATCGTTTCAGGTTAATTCCTTCATTTGTATTTCCTGTTTAGATTGAGGGGCCTATGCTCTTTAATTTTGACAACTTTTAAGTACTAGTACGAGTTTTGAGTAGAAAATATGAAAGATACTCAATAATAAAATAGCACTATTTAGCTATTTAGATACTAATGGTTGAAGAATTAAACATTAGAAATTTAGGCTATGTTTGGATAGATATTAGTAAAGGAAAAGAAATTTAAGGAAAGGTTACATGTAAAATTAATAAATTAAAGGAAAGGAATCTTAACCACTATTATTTGGTTAAAGAGTGGAAAGGAATGCAAATTATTTATTATAATATTTTTTTCAATTATACCTTAAATGTTTCATTTAGCGTATGAATAATTTAGAAATTATTTGTTTTAAGTAAAAAAAAAAAAGAAAAAATTCAATAAAAGAGATTAATTTTTATTAATCTATAAAATAAATGTAGGTTTAAAGTTATTTCTATGCAATTTTTTTTCAGAATTAATTTTAATGAAAAATTAAAAATTATAAATATGTCTTAGTAAATAAAATTAATTATAAACTTGTATTAATATATTTTTTTATAAGTATAATGAGCTCCATTAATATAGGCATAATTTCTCCAATTGTATGTATTTTTCATGTACATATTTCTTTTCTTTTTCCTTTTTCCCAAATTTATGAAATAATAATAAAATGTAAAAATTGATATAAGACCTTACATTAATTAAAAAAATAACTGAAATGATTTTTTTTTCTTTATGCATGATGATAAGTTACGTAAACCAATAATAACTTAAAAGTTTATTTTCATATAAAATAAAGAAAATATGATAAAAAGAATAAAAAATAAAAAATATATACATAAAAAATTCTATAAAAAAATTTACAACAATAATATAAGAAGTTGATGAAAGCTACAAGAATGTAAAATAAGAAAGGATGGTTTGGGTTTGATAAAAAAAAAGTAAATGTTAATACTTCTTGTCATGCTTGCAATGTATTTTTGAAAATTGAAGAAAACAATAAAGGGTATAAATGTTATTTTATGTTTAAAACATTTTTACTCCTTTCCTTTCCTTAGCTTTCTCCTTGTTTGGGGTTAACTAAAAAATGAGTTTTTGAGAGAAACGGGGGTGCCCAACCCCCTTTCCTTTATTTTAATTTAAAATGAAAGCCAAACAAGGGAAACTTTTCCCTTGCTTTCCTTTTATTCACCTCTCTCAATCCAAACATAAGATTAAATTTGCGTTTTACATGATAATATTTGTATAGCTGTGCTCTCTTTGCTTAAACCTTAACTATGGTCTCTGGTTTATGAGGTTAAAGCTCCACCGCCCACTTTTCATTCCCTCCTGCAGTTTCCAGTTAACTTATGCAACTGCGAAAATGTGATCCTGACTGCCAGATTACATGTTTTATTTCATTTCTAGTATTGCATTATGCCTTTTGAGGTACAGCTACTATCTTATAAACTGGCTTGGGAAGAAAAGACTAGTTATTGATTTCTTTCTGTATCCTGTAGACCACAAAAAGGAAGGGTTGGATCAATCACGGGATAAAGGGTCCTGAATCAATTGCTGACCATATGTACCGCATGGCTTTGATGGCTTTGATTGCTGGTGACCTTCCTGGTGTGAATAGAGAAAGGTTGACTCTTGTCATATCATATCAATGCTTCTGTTCTTTATTAATGTATCAACTTCCAAGTTTGTCAATGTGATATGTTTTTTTTTTTTGTTCATGGTAATTGATGAAAATTTTAGGAGAGTTAGCCATTAGATATATCTTTCGACCTATTTTCTTTGACTGGATTTAGCTTAGAAAAGAGGCTGGATATGAGTTTGCTTATAGATATGTTATTTTTATGCTTACTTTTTCTTCCTTTTTTAACTTTATTTCTTCTCTGCTTTTGTTGGATGTTATTTAGGGAAATTTTATGCCTTTTTCGATCTAACTTTTACAGGTGTATTAAGATAGCAATTGTCCATGATATTGCAGAAGGTACTTTTCTGTGTCCTTATTTTCTAACATAATCAATGGTATACTTCAAATTGCGGTATCCCTGCTATACAACTCTTATGTTAAAATCAGTAATGGTACAGAAGCTGTTTTCCCTCTAAAGAAGGAAAAAGGAAAATCTATAAATGGGGTATCTTGAACAATCTGATGAAGTTCTATCTACATATAGGGGAAGTTATGAAGAAACTTTGCTGCTTGGCTATAATTCCTTGTCAATAGTGAGGTCAATGTAGTTAGAGGAGCCATTTCTGTCTTTTTTGTCAATAATTTTCAGAAAGTAGGGTTGATTGCTACTCTATATACACTCAAAACCTTGTCGATGACTTTAAATAGCGATCGTATGTGATGGGTTCCAAATTTATAATCTCCATCCTTGTGCTTCTTCCTTTGCTTCTTTAAAAGATTGAAAGCCTTTAACCAAGATATTTCTCTAATAGAAAGCAGTAATAATTTTACCATTTTTGAGGTTAGAAATTTTAATGATATATAGCATATACTTGTGGAGCTGCTAGCTGGTTATTTGGAGGTTTTAGCCATGTTCTATTGTGATGAAAGGAGTAATGAATCAGTATTCCAATGGAAATAGCATAAACCATAAGTTTTTATCTTGTGATCACATGTCTTGTTTTCAATAATCAAAAACTTAATATAAGAGGCAAGGAGGGCTATGTTTTGTGGAAATCTAGATAAATGACTATATAGAACTCTTACAATCATCTTGTTAATTTGTCTTACATGGACCTTTTGGGTTTTTGTGTGGTGTGGGGGGGGGGGGGGGGGGGGGGGGGGGGGGGGGGGGGAGGGCAAGGCTTACTGAGCTACTACATATCTGATGCTATATTTAGATGTGCATGTGGCCTGCACAGACACGCATAACATGAAATTTATGGTTTGAGTTTTGAGTTCAGATTTTGAAATTTAACAGCTATTGTTGGAGATATAACACCATCAGATGGTGTGCCTAAAGAAGAAAAAAGCAGACGTGAGCAAGCAGCTTTAACTGAAATGTGCAAAATTTTGGGTGGAGGAATGAGGGGTACCCCCTAAACCATGTTATATTTGGAAATTTTGGATAGTTAAATTGCTTTTTTGTGGCATCTGCTTGTCTTAATTGGGGATTTTGTTATATGCAGCTGAGGAGATCCAAGAACTGTGGGCAGAATATGAAAATAATGCTTCTTTGGAAGCTAATCTTGTGAAGGATTTTGACAAGGTATGCTTTGTGATGGCATTCATTTGTCTGTGCATGCTCACACACCCGCAGAGAGGTTTTTCTTCTGAAAGAACATTTTCCATTGGAGACATATCTTAGTTGTTACAGGTGGTAACTGGATATTCCACACCAATGAAGCTGATTGTATGCTCACACACACACACAGGCTGGGCTTTTTTTTTTTCATGGGTTTGGTTTTTGACAACCTTCTTGTGGATGAGGATGGGGCAAGAAAAGCAAATGGAGAATGGTGGTACAGGGGTTTAACAGAACAGTAGATACATCATACATGCCCCTCGGACTTTTTTGTAGATCATTATATTGAAATTACCTTGTAATGTTTCTGCAATGCAAACTCAATGTCATTATTGATTTTCATTCTGTGTTAATCCCGCACTAGATTATTTGTGTGTTGTCTCACCCTTACCTTTTCATTTCTTTAATTGAGTTTATGTGCATTCAAAATCCAGGTTGAAATGATTCTGCAAGCTCTGGAATATGAAATGGGTAAGGGGTTTTATTTATTTACAGCTAAAAATGGGAAAGGGTTTGTTAGTTTTTTAATATTATTATCCAAATTCTTTTCTTTGATATTATGATATCGTGGCAGAACATGGGAAGGTGCTGGATGAATTTTTCCTTTCAACTGCAGGTAGAGTAAATTATTTGTTTGGAGCAAGATGTAATAAATGAAACGATTAACTTCTTTTATCTTAACCCAAAACTGTTGGTGATGTTTACTCTGTTTTCTTTCACTTCTCTTTGATGTTAAGGAAAATTTCAGACAGAAATTGGAAAGAGTTGGGCAGCAGAGATCAATTCAAGGAGAAATTCACAATTGGCTGACAAACCTAATTGACCAAAGGGTTAGTATCAATTTGCATTTTTATCTAGTTTCAAGATAGAAATGCAAAATTTTTGGAATGGGAAAACAGTATGGGGCAAAATTTCACCCTGACGCACCTGGTGTGGCACCCTATGACGATGTCCAGTTGTCTTGTATTTAGAAGCAACCAAGAGGGTCCATTGTTAACGGAACCACCAAGGCTGCGGAACCTGGGAGTCTAGCTTTGTAGGGGCCAATGGGTCCTGTGGTGCTTACTGCTTAGAATCTCCTGTTAATTTTTCAGAAAGTTTTTTGTTGTATGAATGCAAAGTGATTTCATTAGATAACCTATGGTTCGTAAACAATAGTGCAAAAGTTCAATCTACACTAGCTACCACCTATATTTTTTTAGTAATATTGTGATAAATTAAAGGTATTTAGTAATAATATTTTATATCTGTATAGAAAACACCATATATCTTCACTTTAAGGAATTTTGAGTGTAATGTCAATTAATTTCTTCTGTTTCTATATAGATAAATCAAAGAAAATTAATAGTTAAAAATTAAATTAAAGCAATGATAGTCATCCAGTAACAAAATGATAATAAAGAAAAAAACTTACTTTGTTTTTCTTTTTCAATCTATGAAGATTTTGACATTAATCTTCTCTTCAAAATAATGTTTGCATTGTGTCGGAAGTTAAAAAAGTACGAAAAGTATCAATAATTATACCTCCAGCACTAAAGGTAGTTTTTAAAGTCATTGTAGAATAGTTAAAAATTAGATTAAAGCAATGATAGTCATCCAATAACAAAATGATAATAAAGAAAAAAATTTACTTTGTTTTTCTTCTTCAATCTATGAAGATTCTGACATCAATCTTCTCTTCAAAATAATGTTTGCATTGTGTTAAGAGCTAAAAAAGTACAATAAGTATTAATAACTATACCTCCAGCACTAAAGTAGCTTTTAAAGTCATTGTAGTGATAGAAATAGTAAGTCTATCTTGATCCATTTTGGATAAAATACGGTATTTCAAAGTGCTCGTTTATCATTATTTCAAAGCATCAAATTTAGTGAAATCTTTTTTACATATAAAGTAACCCTTAATTAGATAGATATCTAGATCAGATTGTTGTGGTTGAATAGTTTTAACTAATTTTACATAATTTGCAAATTCAAACCAACCAAAAGAAGAAGCTTTATATTCATACCACTAATACTACTATCATGCACTTAAGTTTCAGCCTTACGCTTATTGGCAAATTGATATTCACGAATATATTTCTTATAAATCTTATAAAAGAGTATTTCAAATTCTAACAATATTTTTCTCTTATTTATCTATCAGAGTACAATTGAGGAAAGCAAAACTCAACCACCCTTATTTTGCACCTTGGATCCAAGATAGCTGCTATAGCCATTAACAAATTACATTCTCCCCAATACTTATCAAATTTACTTTTCATTTTACGAACCATTTAAACAAATTCATTTTCATCATTCATCCTTTTATCCAATAACATTTTCACACGATAAACTTCATCCAAAAATAGGTATAAAGTTGGATAATCACATCCAGAGATGATTTTAGTAGTTGAATTAAAAACTTCTAAAATCTCACAAACTTTTTTCACATTTTCTCAATCTTTATGACTTGGACAACATTCGTAATGAGATTCTCATTCTTTAAGTCTTAAAAACACTTTTTTGAATTTGATTTTAGTCGATAACATTTCAAATGTTGAATTCCAACATGTTTTACAATTGAGAATGAGTTTCCTATCAAGCAACTGTAACTGTTGTCCTATGTTAAAAAATGAGTAAAGTCTTGTCTCATTCTGATTAATAAAATTGACACTTTCATGAACATCACTAATCACATTCTTAATCTCAGAAAGATCATTTTGAATCATGAGATTTAAGATGTGTGCACAACACCAAACAGGAAATAATTTTCCTCCATAATGCAACCTCATATTTCTTGAAAATGTGTATTTAAGAATTCTAATAACTACATCATTAGTTGAAGCATTGTATACAGAAAAGTGTAAACACCTTGTTTTCAATTCCCTATTCCTTTAGACACTTAAAAATACAATCGACAATCTCAACACCATGATAAGGAAGAGGTATGTAAACAAAGCTAATAACATGCTTTTGTAATCTCCAATTAGAATCTATAAAATGTGCTGTAAGAACCATGTATTCAATCTTTTGATTACTTGACTTTCACATATCTATCATCAAACTAATCTTGTTGATAGTCTTCAACAGTGCCTTTGATTTCTTCTTTTCAGCTTCATAAACTTGCATGCAATCCTTCTTAATAGTATTGAGTGATATCTTTTCTTATTCAGGCATTCTACATTTTTGCATCATGTTAAAACCTTTATATTGCATAATCGAAAAAGAATGCTTGTGCATAAGTATCCAATATGCAGCTGCCTCTATCATCTTTGCCATATCAAACTTACCATCTGTGAGAGCATATAGTATCTGTACATCACCATATGTGTCTACTGGCTAGAAATTGATCATTTGTTGTTGATTCTGAAAATTTTTTTGCTCAACATAAGTTATAAAGTGCCTTTTAAATTAAGTTATACTTTTACTTGTATTTATTACTAGCTTCTTTTTGCAATGGACACACTTTTCTTTTTAAAAACCATCAGGAAGACTAGCTTCTTTGAACTCAATCAAACAACAGATGTTTGTCACCTCTTTTTCTGATTACCTTCCTCACACTTTTTAAGGTCAACATCATCACATTCTCTATCATTGGTATCGATGACTGGTGTTTTATTTATGTTACCATCAGTGGCATCTAAAGTTTCATTCACTGAATCATTATCATCATTATCTGATACAATTCGACTAGCAAAAGAATTTATTGTCAATTGAAATGGTATAAAGGAGATATCTGGTGTGATTGATGACATATTTAGTTCTCTATAACAAAAAAAAAAAGATAAATCAAAACAAAAATTCAATTTTGGGATCAAACAATAATACTAAACAAGTTGTTAGAAACATGTGCAGTAAATTCTTTTACAAGAAACATGCCAAACAAGTTGCTAAAAATAAGTTATTGGAAGAGTATATAATTTAGCAATAAATGATAACCATCTATGGGAATTGCAAGCAATATACCTCACAAAAGCATTATCCTATAAAAACATCTTTAATTCTTAGATGGGTGAAAAGACTATGATTTGTAGTAATACTCGTTTGAATATGTTTAACTAGAACTATTTGCTAAAGGCCTTAAAATACAATAAGAGTATGAGACAGCCTTTAAAGCTATATCTATGGTGTGTTTAACAAACACACAATGGGTACTTTTGTGGAGAAAGGAAAAAAAAATGTGAGTTTTCTTTCCCTTCAATGGAGTCAAAATTTGAAACACATTAAAACTTGTAGAACCAAAAATGGATTTTGAATCCAGCCACAATTCATTTTCGAATCCCAAATGCCAATATGTAATAATAATGTGACCCTAATTTACCATCCAAAAGTACAAACCCAAGTTAAAGTGGGAAAAAGGACATAACATTAAAGTTAAGAATGGTTCAGTAATCATTCCACATTAAAAAGCTTATGAAAATGTTCTCAGGTCAAATTCCTAAGTGAATAACTCCATTGCAGATAAAAAGGCAAGCTATCACCAAGTGAAATGAGGACAAATAAGGTTAGGTTAAAATAACTGATTGAATCATAAGAAAAAAAGTATAAATCTATCTATCCTCATGCAAAGTCAACAATCTGATCATTACTTTCATATTTTTTTTAACCATATGAAACACAATAAATATAGCTAAAAGCTTTAGAATAATATAACTTTAAATCACTCACTCAAGTTAGCTCTTCAAGCGTTTTAACTTTTTTTGTTGTAAAAAAGGTTAGCTACACATAGTAAATGCACAATTAGACTTGCTATTGCCAAAAACTGAAGCCAACAAAACAAATAGGACTAAGAAGGTGGAAGAAATCAATATTTCATACATGACAGTAATGAAGATCTAGAGTCTCCACTTTGACAAGAATCTCAATCAAGTTTGCATTTAAGCATCTAGCAACATGAGAAACAAAAAAATTAGATATTTTAAATCTCAATTTATTCAAGGAGAGCTAAGCTTTGAGTGTTAAAACCCTAGTAACAGTAGAACCTTAGGCCTAGCACTCATATTCTTCAGTAGCCAACCTTGGCCCAAGCAACCATTTTCTTTATATACTTTTGTGATAAATGTCATTTAGTTTTACATTTTTAAAATCAAGATACTATTCATAAGTATTAAATCACAATCATGTAAAATTTAACAAAAATCAAATTACTTTATAACTTTCTCAACATTAATGGTTACTTCATATGGGGATCTAATGTAGAGAAAGGTAAATGAAAGATTGTGACCACTTACTGAAGATTTGCTGCGGTTATAAGCCCCACCAAATTTAGATGACAAGGATGAGATGTTAGAATCCAAAGCAAGAATTTGCACTGACTTGGCCTTTGATATAAGTTTTTTCAAATTTATATTCTTCAAAAAATTCAAGAGTCTCTAAAGAAAATGAGGGTGAGATGCAAGAGATAGGGAGAAAGAGGGACAGAAGAAAATGGAAATTTAGGGTTTTTTAGGTTAAGGATAATATAGTAATTTTATAAATAAAATAATAAAAATATATATAAAAAAAAACTCAATTAGGCTCGCGAGCTATTTGAGCCCAGTATTAATATGCTCGAACTCTACTCGTTCGATAAGTCGAGCTGCTCGAGCTCGAGCTCAAGATCGACTCGACAATTATCAAATCAAATTCGAGTTTTAATCGAATCGAATCTGAGTAGTTTATGAGTACTAATATATCATTTACACTGCTATAAGCTATAATCTGGTTCCAGTAAATGAAAACCCATTTTGAAACCATCCAACTTTGAAATGTTCGAAAAACAACCAAGCAAGTTATTTTTTAACAAGATCAATATATATATATATATATATATATTTATATATGTGTGTGCATTGTCTTACATGTGAATGAATAAAAAACTTATGGAGATAGAGAGGTGTGATGTTGTTGCTTTTAAGACGAATGAATGAAAAACATCAAGGCTAAAGAATAATTATATATAAATAAATATCTATATAGAAACAAATATAAAAATATTTATTTTGAATATTTTGAACATTTTTTATAAGATAATAAATTAAACAAATTATAATTAATATTTATATAGAAATAACTATGAAAATATGTTTTCAACTAATTAAATTTTTATTTTAGTTTTGAATTTTTAGCATTATATGTCTTATTTATTTATTTAGGTTAATAAATACATAAATTATTTTTAATTAAATATTAAAACCATGATCATTAAATAATCAATAATTTCAAAGCATATTTCTTATTTATAGTATATATATTTGATATTTAAAATTAAGAATTGAATTTAGTTGAAAATTATTTAAGATAATTTAATTGTAACACATTTATAAAAAGTAAGAATATTGGATATTTATAAGAAAATAAATAACCTAATTT